CCCCAAAACCCCAAAACCCCAAAACCCCAAAACCCCAAAACCCCTTAATGATTCATAAACGATGAAATTTTATGCAATTTTCTATTAGAAATCGTACTCTGGAGAAAAAGATCTTTGAGTCTTTCATTAAGAGTCATAGAAGTGAAAATGATGTATCTTGACCATTCTCAGTAAAGTGAGCCAGAAAAACCAGGAATTTCTTTAAAATAGTAACCCGCTTTTAGTAACAAGGAAGATACATAAAAGCTTAACTGCAATTTTAGAATGAATTACTTTATTGTTGAGCTGGTAAAGCAAGCATAAGGCTATTAAGGAGCTTTTAGTTGATCTTCTCAGTAACTATGCTGCTAAAGTCATCTTCATACAGCTCATACTCTAGGATGGGCTCTAGCTGACTTCTGCAAGAATCTTTTGTTCTCTTACAAGGAGATAATTGAATTTGGTCGATGATACAGTCATCAGACTCTTTCAATTTGTGGGATTCATAAAATCTAAATCTCCAACGATCCTCAATATTTTGAGACTCTACTCCTTCATACCTAGATGACATGTTAAGAAAATTAATTTGTTAAGTTACCTTTCAGCCATTTTCTCATTCATGATCATTGCATATTTGGCTGATCGCAGGTTCTAAATACAATTAGACAGCTGTTCTGAAGACTTAGGGGCAAATTCCGTACCTTCATTAAGAAATTGCGATGTTTCTTTGTCACTGCACAGTCACCTTCATAAGGAATGTAGTCTACCACTTCTGGCTCTTCTCTGGTATGATCAAGATCTGTAAACGCAGATGTAGCAAGATCAGAATTGTCAGAGAACTTCCTGCCTCTCTTAACAGGTGTAAACATCTCTGAGCCAAACTCTTCAGTCTCTTCAGGACCTCAAGCGTATATATTATCAGTAAGAAAGTTGTTGTTGGAAATTTTTGTATCCTTAGTAGGACTAGTGTGCTGATAGTTATACTGTAGGATAACCTCTTTGGTGTACTCAATACTCTGATTATAGCACCTAAGTCTCTCTCCATTTGGCTTTTTGGTATCCTTTACTTCTTCAACTTCGTTAGCTACAGGAAAGGATTAGATAACTTGAATCAAATAATCTAACTAAATTCTAACTTTACTTAGTAAGGAAAGATGCACAAGACAAGTAGTTTTTAGGAAAGTTCATTTCCAGAAATATGAGAGAACATTTTTTGGGAAAAAAGAAGAAATTTGGTGTTAGTCCCTATCCCCACTAATTACCTTCATCAGAAACCTTAAAACATTTCATCTTTTTCATGACCTTAACAATACAGTTCATTCTCAGTCTAATCCAAATAAAATTAATTATTAGCAATCCCATCATCCAATTTTTATCCTCTCAAACGGGGTTTTGGGGTTTTGGGGTTTTGGGGTTTTGGGGTTTTGGGG